AATCTTAACATGAAATTTTAAGAAGTAAATTTATGGGTCTTTATTTATACTTACATATCTATAATTAAAGTTAATGCCACTTTTCAGGTAAGTACACTTACACTTTAATATTGGATAATTTTAATATTTAGGACAAGTTTTTTTTATAAAATAAAATTTTTTAACTAATTTTAATTACCTTTATTGATCTGTGCGATTCTACTAATTTAAGCAGTATTTTAAATTGTATCGCAAATAGTATCAAGAAATGTCAACCTCGCGTGCCAGCTAAAAAGTATTTATTGGCCTTTTCGGCAGGATCAAGAGGAGAAAACATAATAAAATAACTGTACATTTTTTTGATAAACTGATAACTGTACATTTTAGAAGGAGCATGTCGTGCGTTGCTATTTTTATATTAAAAGGATAAGTTCAGTCAGATAGTGAATCCATCGAAAGTATGCTTTGATCAAAACGCGGAAGGTCGGTGCCTAATTTGATTGGGTAACGAAATTGAAGCAAAACCTTTTTTATTTGTGTAGTTTTTTATTTACCAATTGCCACGAATATATTGATGGTAAAGATTAAACCCTAATACGCTATAAACCTTATTTTGTCCCATTCCAAATATAAAATACAATCCGATAAACGCACGTTGCCTTTAAGAGTTGTATATCCTCACGTAGTCTTCAATTTGACGAGACTTCTTTAGTTTTGACGAAAGCCACCAGCTTCCTAGGCTTTATTGGATTCGTCAATGAATGTTGCCTTCCATGAGTAGAAAAGTCGAAGCCCATTTTATCCATTTCTTCATTCCTAAACAAATGCATAATATTTTTTTAAAAAAAAAGAAATTGTTGACGCCTATTTCTAAGCTCCAATGAAGAAATCCTCCATTAATTTCGGCAGGATTTGGAAACTTTAAAATTAAAGGCATTTATATTTTGAAATTATATGCAAATTAAACTAAATATTTTTCTTTCTTTTATGAAATAAATTTTAATTATTTAGATACTTAGATTCATTAGAGTTAAAATTTAAGTCACAACTTAAAAAGTGTTTACATATGCATTTATAGATTAGTACTTATTAATTAACAAAACTTTTATACTGACAACACTATTTAGAGTCCTTTTGTTTAGCTTATTTCATGAAAAAATTACTTAGTTTTTTAAAAATTATTTTGTGAGTTTTATGATATTTTTTAAAATTTAAAAAATAATCAGAATAAAAAAATTGAATTTGTAATTATTTTAAGAAGCTACTTTGAGTAGCTTCTAAAAATAATTTAATGCAATGAGAGAAAGCATTTTAAAAATGTGAGATATGCAAAAATATCATAAAATTTTAAAATAATATAATAATAAATTATTTTTACAAAACACAAATCAAAGAAGATATAATAAAATTTAAAAATAACTAACTAATAATCACTTTTTTGCTATTGTAACCAAATATAAAAGAATATGTGCTTTTTATAAAATTTTTACAAAAAAAATCTCTTTTTATAAAATCTTTAAACTACCTAAAAATTACTTATTTTTTAATCTTAAACAAATGGATCCTTTAACCTATATTTTTTAGGGAATAAATTTCTTCAAGTTGAGAATTCATAAATTTATCAAAGAGACAGAATATTTTATATTTTATAAGAAAATAATAAAATGATAACAAAAAACTAAAAAAGTTTATATAATTCATGATTTTTAACTTTAGAGAACTTACTCCTCATTTTTTACTCAAAGCCTAAGAAATGGACTGTACTATTTGTGACTTGGTAAGAGTAAAATTTACAATACATTCTATTATATATTAATATATTGTTTAATAGTATAATTATTAAGTCAAGTAAATATTTAGTCTAACTCAAACAAAATCTTAAATTTTTTTAATTATTTTTTTATTTCATAACCTGGCATCTTGGGAAACATGAGAGCATCACCCTCACTCATCTCAAATTATTATTGCCAATGGTGGCTTCATAGAACTTAAAAACCTCTATAATCTTATGCATTAATGTATAAGTTTGCATTCTGTTCCTTCTTTACGCCTTCTTTAAAAAAATTTCTTCAATATAATGTATGCAATCAATTTTGAAATTCAGAAGACCTGAATTGTAATCAAGGAGGATTAAATGGTCAATTATGGTGCACATATAATCAATAATTCAAAAATCAGATTGAATTGGTCAGACCGTTGCGTTAATGGCTTAGTTTAAACTAAATTTATTTTTCATGATTGAGTTATATTGAACCAGGTTGAGCCACTATTAAATCAGACGCTAGAATGAAATTGGAAATTGGAGCAGTTTTTAGAAAATCAAATAGTTTATAATATAATATTATAAAAACTAGAAAAATTAAAAAATAGATTCTACTAAAAGTCAACTTTATTTTTGAACAATTTATATATATAAAATATGACTTGAGACTTTTTTTTATAAAGAAGTTGACAATTATAAATGTAAATATATATATTTTTGAGTCTATTCATATCTAATTTAACTAAAATTCACTTATATTTGGCTTATAATTTATAATTTACAGTTGTCATGTTATTAATATACTATAAATTTTTCTTTGTATTTATTATGTACATACATATATATAATTTTATTTTTGTTTAATTATTATGTCAATAGTTTGATAATTAATTCAATCTAGTTAGATCATATAAACCATAAATTAATGACCTTTCTAGTTCGACATCCTGTTCGATTATTAAAATATTGTATACAATGTCGTTCCTTACTTTATCGATGGGGATGGATTTGGCAGTTAGCAGGGGAATGCCGCAAGTATGAAATTACATATTCGGTTCAGTCAAATTGAAGAATTTACTTAGACTTCATATACCTAATTCTCTCTGGAAAAAAAGTTTGATTAGTATTAAAAAAAGCTTTATAATAATAATAATGAGAGTTACAAGACTACTAGTATTCCTCCTTTTCTAGAGATGACCAAGTTCACTTAATTGGGGCAGGGTGGTATCCAATCAATATTAAAACTTACAAGTTACAAATGATTAATCCCACAAAGTTACCTTCACCAGACATTGATCCTTTAATTTAATCCCCCATTTAACCATAGATCACGTGACATTCATATTATAGATATGTGCTCGTTGGTGATTCTTTTCCTAAACGGAATATTCACCAATCACCACGAAAGTAATCTCCTGGCAAAAACAAATTGTCCTTATACAGCTAGCTACATCATCTTCATCCATTTTGTATACTCTCTTCATTAAAAAATATAAAATATTATTTAAAAATTTAAATATTAAAAATATAAGATATTTTTAATCTTTCAAGGTATAATTATTATTTTTTTTTCAAAAGTACTCCTATTGATAGTAATTTTATATTTATTATAGGGTGTTTAATAAGATAAATATAAAAAGATAGGATTAATTTAAAAATAAATAATTACTTTATTAAGGGGTAAAATTTAATTAAAAATGCTTTACAATTTTTAATGAAGGGAGTACATATTTTATCAATAAGAAATGTAAAAGTGTGTACTATTTCTTTGTAATATTAATGGATTAACCGTATCTTAATCAAACTTGATTTGTGTTACTCTGAAGAGGGGTGGGTGAGGGGTGGAGAAATTAAAGCTTTACAATGCCTAAAGCCATTTGATATTGAAAAACGAGACAAACACAGTGAGCCTTAAGAGGAAGGAAATCCACTTACTCAACATTTGTCGGATGGTTCCAAGAACCTTCCTCTTAGGCAAACACAGTAGAATTCCACTTCCATGTTAAGAAGTTACAAGGACCAGAGACATGGAAAATGAATATATTAATGAAATCCCATGTGAATATGTAAGATATATTTGCCTTGATCAAGTATTAAATTCTGCAAAGATGTTTTGGTCCAAGTTCCCAACCGCTTCAATTGAGACTAAACCCGCCCCTAGAAGCTTCTTTTTGCACTGCTGATATCGGACTCAATTAATGACGTTGAAATGTTCTGATATCTTCTGCACCAATAGTTTTCAATGCAATCCAGGAAAAGGAGAAAGAAAAAGGAATGACGACAAAATAATTTAAAAAAATTAATTAATTTAATTAAGTTTTAAGTATTAAATTTTAAAAATTTATAATTTAATTTTTTTAATTTTATAATTTTATTGTGATAAATTCGTAACTTATATTTTAACTTTTAATAAAAATAAATGTTTTATTTTTTAATCATGTTATAAATTCATCACAATACAGTTATAAAATTTAAAAATTGAGTTATAAATTTTTAAAATTTAATATTTAAAATTTAATTTAAATTAATTGATTCTCTTGATAACTCTTTTATCATTCTTTCAAGGAAAAAAAAAAAAAAACCACCAACTTAACTACCCTCTTTCGTCGTGCTTTCCTATGTAACATCCCTTCCAAAAAGAAAAATTATACTCTTGTGCAATACAAGTTCATTATTGCAACTGCCGAGTCCACCAATGTGCTATCACCTTTTGGTTCAGCAGTATGATTATATATGCTCATTAGACAACCTGAGCTTAATAAGTTCGAATCATTCACACACATAAACAAATTTAATTCTACAAATAATATAATCAGTCTTTTTTTCAACATATTCCTGTTTTTGCCGTAAATACATGTAGCGCCGCCACTTGTGATGATCACAAACCATATGAACGACCCACAAACTAGAGAGAGAAGGGGGGCGTATCCTTTGTCAGATACCATGTTGGGCGAACAGGTGCTGCCAAAACGGGCCCCGATCTTGCTTCCTTTAATCAAACGTTTAAATTGTCATTTATTTATGTGACAACCAAAGTTAGAACTGATTTCCCTTGTCTTGATTATTATTTGTAAGAATCTGTTAGCCTCAAATCTCAATGATCTCAGAGAAAAGTGGAAAGCAAGGAAAATTGAGGGGCATAAAGACAGAGAGGTTGCTAATATGGGCAAGAAAGGCCAAGATGTGCCTCCACGCGTGCCTTTCCCCGCACACGACTCGACCATGTGCGTTGACAACTTAATCTCATCACTTAAGAACACGACTAAACCTCCTCGAATTTAATCAAGACATAACACAGCCCTCACAGGACTCATCGCGATCCCCTGTCCTTTGAACTTCACGTCACCCCCAAAAAAAAAAAAATATAGTAACAATAAAGCAAGGCGAGTAGATAATTCCTTGCATTAACAGAGGAAAACATACATACTCAAATGATCTCCAAATACGATCATTATCATAATACAAAATACTTGTGATTGTAAGATTACAAGAAGGGAAGGAAGGAAGGAAGGAAAGAATTAATGAACATTGAGGCAGAGAGGTTCTGATGGCCTCGGATTCTCTGAGGACATCAATAGTTGCTCCAAGTAATCTGAGCCGAGATCTTCCAGCACCACCACATTGTCTATTCTTACATCTCTGCAGTCCGACTTGTTCTTCTTCTTGTTGCTATTCACTTTTCGTCTCAACGAGTGCTTTCTCTTCAGAGCCACCACCGGCGAGCAACCGTCTTCTGATCCGTAGTTCATCTCCTTCAGGGACTCCCTCACCCTCTCCACCGGGAAATTCAGTATGGCGGCCGATCCTCTCATGGAAAACGCGGCTTGGTCGTAAGCTAAAGCCGCCGCCTCCGCACTATCGAAGGTCCCCAGCCAAACCCTTATGCCGTGCCTGGTGGAGTCCCTTATCTCGGCGGCGAATTTTCCCCAGGGACGCCGCCGCACGCCTCTGTAGCTCTTATCCTTGGCGGGTGCGGCTGCCGCAGAAGCAGTGGCGTCGGACTCGGAGCTGACCTCCTCGTCCTTGACGGAAGGGAAAGAGTCGTTGTTGGCCTCGGAAATCATGCCGTAGAGGAGCATCTCGTCGGGGTCATTCTCGTTGAAGGGGAGATAAGAGTTGTGGAAGTTGGAGGAGAAGAAGGAATCGGAGGAATCGGAGGAGAAATCGGAGGCGAGAGAGTGGAAGATGGAGAAAGAGGAGTCCATGGGAGGTGGTGGTGAGCAGAGTGAGTGCCGAGGTTGCTCTGTTTTTGTGTAATGTTGAGAGTGGGCGCTCGGATCAGATGGAATGCGAGCGGCGCGCCTTTATATAGCAGTTTGGGTCAGGGGTGAAACGGTAAGAGTGGCCGCCCCACATTAGTGTACACATCATACTACATGAGGTTAAAAAAAAAGAGAGAGAGAAGAACAAACTGCCAGGCGAATTGTCAACATTCATTAGTGTCTCTTATCTTATTTATAAAATACATTTTATAATATTTATTTCATTTTATTTATAAGTTATGATGAGATTTTTTTATATAATATTTAAAAATTATTTTTAAAATTATCTTTTATAAAAAAATAAAAAAACATTACTTTTTAAATTTATTGTATAGAAGTATATTTAAAATTTTATATTTTTTATTTTTTTTGCACTGATATTGATAGGATTGGTAGAAATAACTTATAAATAAAATTAAAAAAATGCCAATTTGTACTATTACATTGTTTTCAATTCTTTGGATTTAATGTATGTAAATAAAAGATATTATATGGAGTGTAATTTAAAATTTAAAATTTCCCAGTCAAAACAGGTTTTTACCTTGCATTTTATTTTTGAAATATATATAATCTAAACAGAAAATAAAATCTGAATAAATTAAATTTTTTGGTGAATAGAATTTAAATTTATTATAAAAAATATTCATTCATTTCGCAATTGCATAAAATTAAAATAATAAGTCATAGTACTATCTATAGTATTATGTACAATAAATTTTATATTTTTTATTAAAGATAATTCATTTGTAATCTTGTATTAAAAGTGAAGAAAATAACAATAAAATAAATCGGAAATCAAATGTGTATAATCTATCTTATAGCACATAAATTCCATAAGAAGTCATGCACATTGAAAAATTGGCTTGCAATCTGTGAATATCATTCTGTTTTGAGAAATATGATTTGTGTTCGGTGGATCCTGTTCGTTTTTTTCTAAATTACCCTTTCATGCATTGTATTGATTCTGCATGGGATCCATATATTTTGTCTTGTCCCGTCTTTTGCTTCTTCTTCTTCTTCTTGTTTTTTTTTTTTTCCAATTCAAAAGCAACTGTCTTGTGCATAAATATTGTTATAGATTAAAAAACAATTCTTGCATATGGATAAAAGGCACCATGTTTTTAGAATCAATTCAATAAAAACATGTCATGTCAAATAACTATAAGTATAAATTAATTTTAGAATAAATTGGTTCATTGGCCAAAAAAAAGAAAAATCTTATACCTAAAAAAGATGGATCAAATTTTTTAATATTTGAGAGTATGACCAGTTCGTATTGATATAGAAAAAATTTATCGTTGAAAATTTAAAAATTTACAAAAATTTATTATTGATATAAATAATATATATTGACAAATATAATAAACCGATCATGATGTAAAATATAATAAATGTTAAACTTTTTTTTAATTTAATCCTGTAACATGAATTATATCTATAAAAATCCTTTAATTTTGCCGTAGATGATGATAGAAAGAGAAGACAAAAAGTTAAAGATACACCCATTTAAAAAATAAAGATATTACAAATAATAATATACAAGATTTTATTTAATTAAATTACTTTAATTTTATTAGGCAGGCCATCGATGACACAATATATTAAATCTATATAAATATTTTTCAAAATTTAAATAATCTAAATATACATGGTGCAAGATATTGATGATGAACGACAAACTTGTTTCAATTAGGTGTGTTGTATATATAAAAATTGAGATTTAAACTTAGTAATCAGTTATTTAATGGACATAAGTTCTGTACTGTTTACATTGAATTGAATTGTTTGCGATACACGCATACTTATTGATAGAGTTAATTAATATGATCTAATATCAGTACTAACGAGCCAAATTTAAGTATTGTTGGGATTAATTAAGATTAACTTTCTTAAAATGATTTTTTATACATTTACATCGTAGGAGGATTTAATTGGAAGAAGGTTATTTTGGGTTTGCCACAACAAAAGAAGGTTAAACGGGGGGCGCGTAATAACTAATAGAGTTAAAGGGAAGGGTGGGGAGGAGAGAGAAAATAGCAGGAACACGTGGGTCAATCAAGGGACGGCGGCACGGTCAAGACTCCGGAAGAGGGTTGCAGCTGACGTCACTGGATGACGCCTTTTTTCCTAAATTATTTAATTTCTCGTCTGTTCGGATCTCTTTCCTCTGCTCACTGTCCATTCCACCTGAGCTATCCCATTGGAAAACTCCACCTGGACTACTTATTCTCCCGTTCTTCGCTTTTTAGTTTTTACCCTCTCCCTTTCGCTCTGTTTATCTTTTCAGGGTAACTTTTTGTTTCACATTATATTTTTTTAAATATTAACAGATAAATTGTTTTTAAATAAAAAATAAAAATTCAGTTAAGTAAAATGTTATAATAATATTGAAGTCTCAAGATATTTTTTTAATATTAAATCTGTATGTAAATTTTTTAATCCTCTTCTACTACTTAAAAAGTTGTATCATTGATGGAATTAAATTTGTGAATGCTTGTATTAAACTCATGAATCATATAAAATTAGCTGCACTTTGTTGAATGAAAAAAGTTGCATGATAAAAAGTATAATTTTTCAAATTGCTTTAGTCATGGTGAAACTAAACTTGTAAATACTTATATTAAATTTATAAATTATATAAAATTAGTTTCACTTTGCTAAGTAAAAAAATTGCTGATAAAAAATTATGATTTTTCAAATTGTTTTGGTAATTGGTGGAACCAAACTTAGGAATATTTATATTAAACTTGTAAATTATATAAAATTAATTGCAGATGGGTACTAAAATAATTTCACACAAAAATTTAATCTCAAAGAAGTTATTTAGGATTTTACTATCATTATCACATTTCAAAAAATTAAATTGTTATTTTTTTTATTTCAAATGAATTTATTTGTGATTCTCCCAATCTTAAAATTTAATAATATATTTTTTACTTCACTCTCATTTAATCGAATAATTTAAATAATTTATTAAATACAATTAAACACTTATACCTATTCAAACGCTGTTAAATAAATAGGGGCGGATTTGACAAAATACACCATATTTTACATACTCATTAGTAAGTGTCCAAGAACATTAAAAAGCCAATATAATGTAACCGATTGAAGATCTTCCTTACGTTCTATAATATATGAATAAATAATTTTTAAAATTTTTTCAAGAATCAATAAACGCAGAAAAAATCAATTCAATTTAAGAAATGTTACTAATTTTCTTTAGATACCCTCGTTTAATAATTGTCTGGTGGCTTTTAATAATTGATTTCATTAAGAAACACGCACTTTTAATAAGGGGAAAAAAAAACTTGTAATAAAAGCTCCCCGTAAAAGGTGGTTGTTTTTACAAATACGACCATGAGAACCCTTTCAGGATTCTCTTATAAAAATGACTAGAGTGAGTAATGTTCAAAGATTTATCATTAAATATTTTTTAAAAAAAAAAATTTATCATTGTTATTGTTAAAAAAATATAAGAAAATATGACAAATATAATAAAAGTAAGAGATAAGTATAAAGATAGGAAGAATCTTCATTCATGTAAATTTTGAGATACATTTAGTAAATTTTTACTTTTATTGTTGTTGCTACTGCTGTTGTTTGTATACATAAGCATGTAGAAACTTAGTCGAGAGAGATATACAACTATCCTCCATACCTTAAGGAAAACAATATTTGTTATTGTCATTGATGAAGATTTTCTATAGAACTCATTAAAAAAATATATCAATTTTTCGCTCTTCTAAAGGGGACCACTTGTACTGTAACATCTCAAAAATTATCCTCTTAATTAATTAAGCTAATGAAAGGTAAATATATATATTTAAGTATAAATAGCTTTAAGGATAGTCAGAGACGGCTATTGGGTTTGACTTTAACCTTTAGATTGAGTTTGAAAACGAATTGGGTTACAAGGGTTCAAATTGTAGAAAAAAAAAATTAGATTTTGACCCAGTGCATTATGCTGTAGCATAAAAATTTACACTGCAACATGATTTCTAGAATCATTTTTTTAAAAAAAAATGAAAATAGAGGAAAACATCATAAAGATTCTTTTGTGGAACTATTAAGGTTTGGGGGTTGCCTTTATAATTAAAAATTTAAAAGACACTAGTGTAAGCAAATTTAAACCCTCTATTCTGTTCCTGATAGAAACTAGGACAAGTACTATAAGATTTTAAAGAATTAGAAGGGCTTGTGGTCTGGAAAAAGCTTATGTGGAGCCAAGGGGTTCAACTGGTGGATTGGCTCTATAGTAGCAAGAGGGGATTGATATGAATATTTTGCAACAATCATTAAATATAATTCATGTGAAGTTAAATTCATCCACTGTTAGTGTCCTTGATTTTATAACTTTCATATACGGGGCACCTTGTGATAGGGACAAGGAAGTGGTGTGGCAAAGGTTGAGGGCAAGTGTAAGGGGTGTGGTGAGATCATGGTTGTGTGTGGGTGATTTTAATAAAGTTGGGGCTTGTTCTGAAAAAGGGGTAAACTAGTTGCTATGATCAAACTTTTAAATTTCTATAAACTTTTAGATGATTGTAGTTTAATTGATACTGAGTTTAAAGGCTCAAGGTTCATATGGACTAATAGGAGGATGCGGGATGCAAATATTAAGGAGAGAATTGATAAGGGACATGGTAATGTTCTATTTCGTGAGAACTTATAAGGCTCAGGTGATTCACTTTAAACTAGTGGGCTCTAATCATCATCTTATTATTGTTGATTGTTGTTATTAGGATGAGAAAACACCAAAGCAATTTAAATTCAATGTTGTTTGGATTAACCATAAGTGTTATAAGGATATTGTGTTGAATGGATGGAGTGGAGTAGGAGAGCTTGTGGTTAACATAATTAATGATTTTGTTAGGAGGATTAACAGGTGTAGATGTGTGTTGATTGAATAGAGCAAGAAGGAATTTCATAACAATAGGAAATTAATTGATGAGCTAAATGTGTAATTAGATGCTTGGTATGAAAGAGTTTGGAATGAGAAGAAGTTGTAGCAAGCTAATAAT